CTCTGCATCACCTTCGACATGTTCTTGGTCAGTTCTGTGACGGGTGTCTCAGGGAATACTCCTTCTGACGGCATACTCTCTTTTTCTCCATCACTGTCCGGAGCGGTTCTAAAGGAGGCTGACTCGTTCACGTATTCTTTGGCGTCGTGTAGATTTGGTGTCGTAGCAGGATGTGTAAATCCCATTCCAACAGTGGAACAAAGGGATTCGTCCTCACATGTATTCTCTGCGTCTTCGATTTCATGAGATCTTGAGGTTGAATTATCTGTATCACTTTTATTATCCAAATAATTAGCCTCATTGTCTATAGCACCTTTGCTAATAACTTCGATACTATTTCCTTCATTATTTCCCACAGCACCGATGACGGCGTTTTTTCTCATATCACGGATACTATTACTGCATTCGGTTTCTGGGTTGATGGGTTCAGTCCGTCGGCTTTCATGAGTATCAACATCTAGGGTCTGAGGGCAATGAGTAAGCAGTACAGTTTGGTCTAGCTCCATATGACTTCTCGAGGCGGAATCTACACTGAAATTATTCATATGTTCCTCTTTATCATATGTTGCATCTGTGGTTAAAATCTGTTCTCTTACAAGGTTGACACTGTTGACAATCTGTTCAGCTTGACTGGAAATATCGAGTTGATCACTTTCCTGGCAGTTGTAACCGTTAAGCTCATTCTCTTGACCACCTACTAAGATTTGTTCTTTATTTTGATTGACAATACTGGAGTTTTCTGTGAATGGTTCTTTGACTTCACAGTCAGCGTGGCTGTTACTGCTGACTATAGTCTTAGTTTCATCAGGCGCAGCAGGAACATGTTCCCCTGCTCCGATGTTACAAATGACCTGTTTAGCTTTTTCAATATCCTTATTCTGGCCATTTCCATTACAGTCAGTCCTAATCTGGTCACTCTCTTTACATTCTTTGGCGATTACATTAAAAACACTGGCATCTTCACTTCTTTCACTGACAGTACTTTTCTGTTCATTTTCATTATACACTTTACCATTAACACCAGATGCGTTGATCTGCTCACCTCCTTCACTTCCATCATGTGATATACTAGTATTCACACTTACTCTATTGATAAGTTTACTTAACACACTGGTCTGTCTATTTTCTTCACTAGATACACTGGTTTGCTCACTCTCTTTGCTGATATTTTCACTGCGATCACTGGTTTCTCCACTTTCCTCGTGTTTTATACAGAATAATTCACTGTGAATACAAACATCCTTACATGGACTATCATAATACTCACTTTCATCACTGGTAAGACTAACCCCTTCCTTTTCTTCACTGGAACTGCTATGTTTACTGGTACCAAGGCACTGCTCACTGAAATCACCTTCACCCTTGTGGCCATTAGCTTGATTGGGTGCAGAACTGATCTGTCGAATCACACCATCGATAAACTCCCGCGTTTCACATTTTCTATTTTCATCATTACTGCTGAAACTATGATAATCATTTTCTTGACTACTATTTTCGTTTGAACTGCTATTAGGCTCAATCTTCCCTTGAAAAGTGCCAAAGTTCTGCACCAGAAATTCATTCTCACACACAATTAGATTATGGTTCTGGTCATTTAGTCTGGTATCACTTGTTTCATCTTCTCGGCTGTTATTCGAACTGTGCTGAGGATCTGAGGACCTCGAGGATATGGAAGGATTGTCCTGATCCTGCGTAGATTTGTTCAGCTGTATTTGACCTTCAGGACTCTGTAGAAGGGTGTCTGGATAGACTGACGTACAAGGTGTCTTTTCTGCAGGCTCTCCCACTGCGCATTCGAGCTCACAGTATGACAACGTGAAATTATTAATGGTTTGAGGAGAAGCATGGGGAAGAGCTGTTCGCAGTATTGGTGTAATCTGACTAAGAGCCTCCTCACGACCTGGATCAAAAGAATGTTCTCTGCTTTGATCACTGAATGCAACAGGTGACTCAGCCCTTTTAAGAGACGGCGCAGAAAAACATCTCGTGGAGATGCGAAACACTTCAGGTGGGTGGATGGGTGTACCCTGTGCAGAGCCCCTACGCTTATACTGACGTAACAAATCTGACTTGCACTCGTCAACAAGTTTGTCAAAGCTATCATATACTGCATTTTCTCTGGGTTTCTCTTCAAGTTTGTTTAGCTTGGCATGATCTTCACGATCTCCGTTTAAGCTCTGCTCGTCAGTACCGGTAGTAGTTTCTTCACATTTAGGTGCGTGCTCATCTCTCTCTGAAATCAACTCTACTTCTTCATCCCATTTACTGATGATAATTTCAATGTCAGTTTGACCAGACTCAGGTATACCTTGCCCTATGGAGCCAAGGCTTTTATCTTGTATGCCATTATTGGCATAAACGTTTGCCTTGACCTCCTCCTCGTCCTGTGCCTGCCTGTTGTTCAACCTTTCCACATCCTCTTCCGCGTCTGTCCCATTGCTGTAGTTAAGGATGCTATCACCTATATCTTCCAGCATGGTCACCTGAGAGTTTCTGCTGCTGCTTAGCACACGAGGAAGGCGATCTAAGCTCAGTGACAAAGTCGAAGATTCTAATGTTCCATTCCGTGCATGGTGACCGCGGCACTTGTGCGCTGGGCATCCCGGGTCTTCCTGGCTGGCTAACGTGTCATGAAGG